AAGGCCCAATTTGTCTTATATTAAAGTTTAGAATTGTGATACTTATGTGAAGCGCACTGAATCGAATAAACTTGAGACTAAATCCTATAAATGCATAATTGTGCGACATACAAATGAGATAATTTGATATTAATTCTATAATCCTATTGAGAAGAAAATCTTCGTATCAAGATATACCGTCTTTCCATATAAAGAGTTCATTCTACAAGAGGATAGTTAGAGAAAAATTGAACTTGAAGGAGTTCAAGAGTTCACAAATATAGTTGACCAAGTAGATGAACCTGAGTTTGATCGTACATCTGCTGAGGGACAAACTCTTGATCAGGAAGTACAGGATCCTGAGGACACTTCGGCTTAGCGTAAGTCTAGTAAGATCATTCGACCTCCTAGAAGGTACGAATGCAAGATTACTAATCAGACATTGCTAATCGAAGATAACAAACATATCAATTGTGTAGAAGAAAGTCAAATGTTGACTAAAAGAGATGCCGGAGGCCATGAATCCGAGATGAACTCAATGTATGTAAATAAAGTTTGAACCTCAATCGACCTACCTGCTGGGATAAAATCCAAAAGGCAGTAAATGAGTTTACAAGAAAGATGTCAACATAGATGGAAATATCCATACATATAAAGCAAGACTAGTAGCAAAAGATTACAAATAAAGACAAAGAGTTTACTTTGATGAAACCTTTTAACTTATAGCCATGCTAAGTTCATTTGAATTTTACTTGCAATAGCTGTGTACAATGACTATGAGATATGGCAATGAATGATAAAATTGCATTCATTAACTGTAACTTGCAAGATGAAGTGTACATGACACAATTCGAAAGTTTTGGATTCGAAGATGTTAACAAAGTATGCAAACTCGATCAATCCATATATGGTTGAGACAATTCTATAAGAGCTGAAATATTCGATCTAAATAGATAATTAAAATGTTTGATTTTATAAAAAATAAAGATAAACTATGTGTTTACAAGAAGACATGGGAACTAGGGTCTCATTATTTTATCCAAATATGTGATAATGCAGTTGAAGAGATAATATAAAGAAATGACGTAAAAAAAAAAAAAAAGAACAAGTTTTTACAATTGATAATATTGCAGATCCACTAAAAAAGAATTGCTGTAATATAAACATGATCGTCATGTCTACTATTATGGTATTAGACACATAAATGATTGGATCTAGTACAAGTGAGTGTTTCAACGTGTTATACTGTAGGTACAATCGATTTAGATTGTAAACACTTTTAATATATTAATACATTTTATTTATTGCAAAATCTATTATTTATTTGAATTATTAATCTAATAAATTATACTAAATAGAGTCAGTAGATTCAAGTCCTAGTAACTTGTCATTTACAAGGAGATGTGATAGTAAGATACAAATTACATATGATTGAATTTTAAATTATTCACGATCGTAAGTAATGATGAGATGCGGATACTGTTATTATGGATGAACCATCACATATGACATTTCTCACTTGTGATGTGAGTCGCTGATCTCACGAGTCAAAATGTAATAACATTTAAATGAATGCATAAATATTTTGTTACAAGAACAAAACATTAGAGATACTCTCGAAAGATTCCACATGAATAACTATTTGAGTGTCAGTGGTTAATCTCTAACGTTCGGTAGTAAAATTGGTAATTTGACTTGAAGTTATCATTGTGCCTTATATGAGGACAGTCATACTTTGTTGATATTGTATATTGCTCTACCAAGAGTCACTAATAAGACATCGTTCAGGTGTGTCAAGAATCATATGAAGGTTGTAAATGATCAATTGAGAATTCTTCACTTTTAAATAATAAAATGTTATAATCTACATTTCATTTAGTTAAGTTGGAAATGAAATCCTTGTCCAATGTGTGCTCGTAAGTCAAAAGATTTTTCGACTTATATTGACTTAAGAGTGGAATGAAAGATGTGATCGATAATTGAAATTAATACACTTCCATATGTCATAATTGATCAGATCATATTGACGAAAAAATTATAGTTTCATAGTAAATGATTAAACTTGGCTTTGTCATACCACGTGACATTTTTCATTATATGTATTGCTCTAACACATTGCTAAATGTCAATACGGGACGACATATGTGAATTAATAATAAATTAAAAATTGTATTTAATTTATAGATTTTGATTAGATCAAAATAATAATTCACGTAATTAGGTATCGTGATCGGGAACCTAATAAGTCACACACAATAAGGAGAACTACAAGAATGATATTACTAATTAATTAATTAACTAATGTTTGACATTTGTAGAATTAATTAATTGGGCTTCTTATTAATTAGCCTAAGTTAATTAATTAGATTAATTAATTTATGAGTAAAGTTTAATTAATTAGATTAATTTATTTATGAATTAAGTTTAAGGAACGGGTCAATCTCACTTAAACTTATATTTATAAGTTTTAGAGTTTGAAATATCATAACATATATTCATAATCTTACTAGCACGAGAAAAGAGAAACTCTATTATCTTATTCTTATTCCCTTATATGGATAATCATTGAAGGTTGGACAGTTGTTGTGTGATGAGAACATGATTGCTCGTGTTTCAAAATTAGCAAATGAGTTTGTAGAATTTAGTAAATGTATAATTCTAATCGCAATTTTTATCTAAACACAAAGCAGATNGGGTTGGGGTGGGGGGGGGGGGGGGTCCGATCGATTGGTTCAAGTATCTAAAAAGGAATGTGCTCTTTTTTCCGGATTAGAAAATGGTATCACCCCACCTTTGAGAAGCTCGACTAATTTACCAGAAAGTTAAAACAATAGACAATTAACTCCTCCCACAAACACAAAAAAACTGAGAAATTCAACAAGCACACATTTATTGAGTAATTTTTCAATGCCCATTTGATCAGAAACTTCTTGAAGCCAAGCAGAAAAGAAAATTTTATCAAATTAATGGAGTGAAGGCCTTTGGATGGATCTTATTTT